CACACATGCCAAATAAAAAGAAACGTAGCAATTACTGAGAGACAGCTGTGTGGCATTGATGACGTCGTCGCAGCTCTTATTGTCATAAAGCTCAACAAGTCGAAAGAGKGAAGAAAAGGYCTACAATACACACACATACACGCGCACTAGCATATCTGTATATGCACACGGAAGTGTGTCCCATTAAAGATAAATATTTGAGTTTCAGTTTGAGCTGACTTGGCAGCACTGTCAAAAACGACTCAAAAGCAAAACGAGCAAACTTATTAAGCTAGAAACGAGAGATGTMWATTAGCACCTAACCGCAACATTTTTTAAATGTATGTGTTTTATATACACAAATATAATTATATACATACATTGTATATATATATTTGTAATGTATGATTGTTCGGTCAGTTTTTTTTTGTTTTTTTGCGACCGCAGATTAGATTAAATTTTGTTGTTACTTTAAGAAGGCGCAAGTCTCGAGTCGTCTTGCCGGGGCCCCGCCTCGCACTTTATGCGCTCTACTCTGCCGTTGCAGCAGAAATAAAAAGAAATATAAAAGCACACACACACGCTCCTATAAATATACATACATACCTATATATACGCGTKTATATAACTAAAGGCAAACAACACACATACATGCGCACATTCATATGTGCGAGTATGCAACTTTTTTCTTTTTACTTTTTGCTCTCTTTCTTTAGACAAAATTGTGCTCTCTGCAGTTTTCATTCAAGCTTTTTTTTTTTCTTTTTGTGAGCTACGCTTTGTTAATCGTCTGTTGCTTTGTTTGTTTGTTTGTTTTCACGAAAAGTAGTCAATACCGGTTTCGCCCTCTTCCTCTCGCACTTCTTATCTTAATTGTGAATAGTGTGCAATTTAATTGCGGTTTCAATTGTTTTTGTTTCTGCTATCCCTCTCACTCTCTGACTCTATCTCCCTTTGCCGTCTTTGCCGCCGTCCTACCAAGCGGACATGCAAAGGCAGTTAATGTATCGCAATTTGCAATTTGTTCTGCCGTTGATTTTTGCTGTTCGCGTGCACTGGGCAGATGCATGACGTCACAKTTGATTACAGGTGGCGCTCTGAGAGTTGCAAGTTGCGACGTCAGAAGCTAGCAGCAAGTGGTTAGATCATTCACAATAGGCAAGAAAACAGCTGCGCATAAACATGCAAACATGCACACACACACACAAACACACACATACATACATACATACAGTTTGTGTGCGAGACAGTGAGAGAGCAATACTATAGCTATCGGAGTAAGCTGGTTTRGGGTGGAGGAGCTTCAATAATTGCTAAGGTCAGAGGGGTGGCCACTTGTCCTTTAAGTATTTTTATTTCGTCTTTGTTGTGACGCCGTTTGGGCTGTCGCATGACTCATTGGACTCTCATACTTTCATAGTTTAAGCGTGTGTGCTGTTGTCTCTTACCTCCTTTGTCGCTTGGATAGACATTCAATTGTTCATCATCGCGGGAAACTTGTGTTATTATTGATGTTGCATCCATTACACAGCGTGTTGCAAGCTGAACACTCCTCTGCTTTAATCCAAATAAAGTCTACAGGTCGAAGTTGCAAAAAAGCGTTTATTTGTAAATTTAGCTGCACAAAATAATACACATACACATTATATTAATACATATTTTTTTTGCACACATTTTCCTTAGAAAACTTCATGTTTTCTTTATATAGAAACAACACACAATTATATACACATATGCAAGCATGCATGTACGTGTGTGTGTTTGTGTAGCGCAGACTGCGACGTCGACTGCGACTGCGACTGTTGCCTGTGCCAGACAGTGGAATTTTACAATTACGCTTTGACAGCCTCATTCGTTGGTTTCGTCGTCGCAGAATGCAAATGATTTTCCCTCGCGATATTCACCTTTTGCAGCTTTACATGTAGAAATGCACTTTCGCCTTTCGTTACTTTATTAAAAAAATTAATTAGAAATGTATTAAAAATACAACGGAACTCAGCATAAAATCAGTTTCTTTTCTTGCACTGTTGTTTGGGCACATTCTTTATTTTTCTTGGCGTCTACTTTTTGCACGCAGCTTCTTGGCGTTTTATTTATAACGCACTCACTCGACACACACACAAACAAACGCAAACACACAACACACACGCACACTTGCATTTATACAGCACACAGGCACTGCTATTTGCTTCGATTTTCTCAATTGCTTGCTCTCGTTATGGTAGTTTATTTCGATATCGCACTCATTTTGAGTATTCATTAATTATTTAATATTAATTGTATTCAAAACTCCGCGCAAAAAAACAAAACGTGTGCTCATCGAAAAAAATGTAGCAAGACTGGCTTTAAGTGTTGTCACCATAAGCGGACGAAACTAGAAATAGAGCTGCCAGACACAATAAAATGTAAACGAAATGTTATTAACAGCGACGAGGGCTGGAGTAGCTTAACATCTATCACTAACCAGAGAATCTATTAATTGAATTAAATTTTTTTTTTTTATTAAGAATGGGACAATAAGGGGATTTCTAAATTTTTAAATTATACAATAAGGGCAAAAATATAGTATTACTTTATTTTTTTAGGTTTTTTTTCTTCAATATTGCCAAAATATCTTGGTCTTGTAAGAACTAAATGAACGGCACTCGAAAGTTCAGTTCCATAAAACTTAGTCCGAATGATTTTGTGKAACTAGTGCCCGGTTGACAACCGGCTATGAAACAAAAATAACTTTATATAATATTATCAAAATTAATTAAAAGATGCCGCGCAATCCCAATGCCGAACGTGATAATCCCTGCTTAAAAGTAAG